TCCACCTTTCAACACCCAATCACTGCTCAGAGCTCCCACACCTCACGCTGATTCCTCATGCTTGCTGCAGACTATCGAGCGACCGAATCAACCGAAGCATGTTGACCTACCTCGACAATGATCCATTCGACCAAGTCATTCATTGCTCAATCAATGAGGTTCCTATCCCCGCCATCCCAACCACCAATACTTGGATGGGCGTCTCCAGACACAGACGCGATATTCATAGATACACCTCCTCCAACATGTGCCGCCCTTCTCTCTCATTCGTCCCTCATGCAGACAATCTTCTCCTACAGCCGGATCCTCTACTCGACCTGCTTGGAGCCTCATCGTGCTTGCATGATTTCTCCCCTCTTGGATCCAAATATAGCTCTCTCCATCGTTCGCGAGAACTTTGAAGTCTCTCATATACACCATCCTCGGCCAATGTCGCCGTGACTTCCTCCAAGGCAGACCGTTGCCCTCGCTGTTGTCCCTTCCGTCGTCGACAAACCCCCCTTAGAGCCTGCGAATACTGCTGGACAGTGTTCGCGATCATTCCCTCGTAATAATTAACAGCAGCGCGGCTCGCCGATCTCATCCTGTCATTGCCGTCCTTTATATCTGCATCTCATCGTTGTTGATGTGCGCCGAACCAAGACTACATACGGAAGAGACTGTCCCAGAACTATCAGCAATGGCCTCCGCAAGCGAGAAGAAGGCGGCCCCCGCGACGAAGGACTCGCCCAACACCAAGTCCTCCAAGATGCACAGACGCTCGAGGTCGGGTGAGTTATGCCACGAATCGCAGTGTCTCTTTTGGATGTGGATGAAGACTAAGCTTGACGTCAGGTTGCTTCACATGCCGTCTACGGCGCAAGAAGTGTGATGAAGGGAAGCCCAAATGCAAGGCATGTAGACACTTGGGTCTTGACTGCGAGTACAAGCGACCCCACTGGTGGAGCAACAATGAGACACGGAGGAAGCAGAAGGAGCACATCAAGACAATCATCAAAAGAACAAAGACAACTGAGAAGAATACAAGTACTCAAAGTCAATGTACATCCGACCACATACCTGTGGAGCACTCCTTGGAAGTCCCAACTAATCTATGCACAGATGCTTTGAACAATGCCGCCCAGTCTTACTCGGAGGACTCTCAAGACGAATACGACCCAACCTATGACCCGTCCTTTGCAACCACTCCCGGCCTCTTCGATCCCTATGGTCCCAACATCTACATGCCTCCCGAGTCATATGCGCAAGCCGTCCCATGGGAGGTGGATGTCAAGACGGAGCGTCACACCTATGTTAATGATGAACTCACTCGGCGCGACTCGTCGATATCAACTTTTAGCACCTTCTACCCTCCACCTGCTCATGCAACTTTGCCGTCGTACACCGGAGACGACTGGGTACAGCAAGACATCTTCGAAAGCCGACAGGACTCTTGGACCGAAGGCGACTTCGATTTCAATAACCTTGATGTCCCCCACGTCGCGCATCAGTTTGAACCTCAATGCTCACTGGTCCAACTCGAGGATTGCGATCAGCCACTGTTCGAACACTTGCTCCAAAGCGTCTTGCCACTGCTATTCCCCGTCCTCGAGGCCTACCAACACGGGTCGGTCCGTTCAAACGTGATATTGCCTTCTCTCGAAAATAACAAGGCCTATCTCCATTCCTGCCTCTTGGCTGCTGCTACTCACATGAAGGGCAACGGGCAATTTTTGAACAACGCCGCAGACGACGATGCGATGCGCCATAAGCTCGCCTTTGTGACGATCGTGGTCGATGCACTGAATAGTGATAGCCAGCACACCGAAATGCTCGATGCTCTACTCGGGATGATTTCGATGCAATGCTGTGTCGGCTCAGCGTTGGATCTTGAGAAGGAGTTGATCCCCTGGCACCAGCACTTCCAAGCCGCAGCGGACATTGTGCAGAAGCTCAACTTACCACAGAATCTAGAGAGCAATGCCCCGACAGGTGGTCATCCACCGTTCAACATGAGTCTGACTGCGTGGATCGACATCCTTGGCGCCACCATGCTCGGCAAAGCCCCGCGATTCTCTCACACTTACAGAAACATGTTCTTCGCCAGTGCGTCGACGGGACTCGAGAAATTGATGGGTTGTAACGACTACGTCATGTATCTGCTCTCGGAAGTTGCATGCCTCGACTCGCTCAAGGTCGAGGGTAAACTGGACGACTTCGGGATGTGCAGCCATATCACCTCGCTGGCCGGCACATTGGACTCAATTGAGCCTCAAGAGCCTTTGCAGCTTCCGTTTAGCAGGACTGGCGTCCTCCGACCGAAACAGCTGACCAAGAACATCACCGCCATCTTCCGCAAGGCCGCTCGTGTCTACCTCTGCTCACTCGTGCCCGAGTACAACCGCTACCAGACCGCGACCGTTAACCTGATCTCGCAGATGGCCGACCTCCTTCAATTCATCCCTTCGGGTCCCAACGGCTTCGACCGATGCCTCGTCTGGCCCATGCTCATCTGCGGTGCGAATTCGATCCCGGCCTCTCCATTCCGCCGAGTTCTCTCGGAGCGGTGCGACCTACTAGGCGAAGCCGCCGATCAAGGATCCTTTGGGAGAATGGTGCGCCTGTTGCATGAGGTGTGGAGACGTAACGACGATGTAGTTGTCTCCGCTGGAGTGTGTGAAGCCACCCCAGTGACGGCCGGAAGCCCTGGAGGATCGATCTCGACGCCAATTACCGCAGCCGCCGCTCCCACCGGCACCGGAAACCTAACTGGAACCACTTCTTCGACAACGACCGCGACAGCAGCAGTACCGAGGAACCAGAACGTCCACTGGCGGGACGTGATGCAGCAAAACAAATGGGATTTTCTTCTGATATGAGCGGTCTCTCTTCCTCTTGTCAAAGTCCATTGACCGAGAGTACTATTTGCAGCTCTTGATGGTGCAGAAGCCTCATTCGGTCTTGACGGCCGGGCTCTCTGCCGAGATGCAGATACGGACTCCTGGACGCGCAAAGGGAGAAGGACTTCCTCCTCTACCAGAACGATGACATTCATTTCCGACTCTGAAAAACACGTCGACGTTAATTGTCCTTTATCAAGTGACAACTAATTTCTTCCACTCATTTCAACGACACATCTCCGCTACTTCGGAATGGAGAGGCGAGGATATTTCCCATCTGATCTTTTCTGGCAAAGGATTAATACTACACAACCCCCATATTTCTGCATCCAGGTCTGGGTAAAATAGCCTACCAAAAGTTATTTGCTTTTTCCTCGGTCAACCTGACGACGACAAAACTTTCGACGCGGCGTTTTCTTTTTTGAAGAAGTGGGAGGAGGGGAAGAAGCACAGGCTTTTTTTCTCCTCCATCTCTGGCGAATTATGGCTCCGGCAGGGACGGGTTATAGGCAGCATGCGGCAAGCGGCGCACGGCGCAGGGTAACAGCTCCGAATATTCCCTTGCATGGCGTATGTTCGTTCACATGGGAAACAGGGCAACAAGCACGGCACTCTTACCTAGACAGTCAAACCAACAACAGATCTGACGGCCGATATATCACATTTACTAAAGCACAGCACAGAACTCGCGTTTTGAGCTGTCCTATTCAGGATATGGAAGCTCCTCACTCTCTTGTCTGACAGAGGTACAGGGGGCCCCAGGGAAGAGACTACACTTATTGTGGGACCATTCTTTTATTTTAAAACTAACCATACTTTCTTGCTGGCTTATGATACCCCTGGTTCCGTGGAGCCTCTAAAGCCTCCACTGAATCTTATTTCCGACGAGTTTCCTTTTCGCTTTTTCGAATATTTTGGGGCGGTTTGTTTCTGGGTTGTTTGCGGTGGGTGGGGTGTGGACAGGAGTTGCTTGCAGAGGCAAGGATGTGCATGGGGGGGTGATGGATGGACAAGACAAAGGGGATCTCGCTGGCGGGCTGGCAGGCACTGGAATTGCATTCCAATTACCCTGAATATTCCCACAGGGGTGATTTGTCGCACAAGAAGAGGAGGGAGAGCCGGTTTTTTTTTCGCGAGAGGTCCAGAAGCGAAGAAGAGACGGCTCACTCTGACGAGCGCTGTGGAAGGAGACCGGCTACAGAACAGGCACAAACGCGATGAAGATAACCTCTTGAAAAATCCAGACCAGGAGGGAGGCTCTCGATGAACATGTGCTTACGCGAGACGTATAATGGAGATGGATGCGGCAGAGGGGCTGCACAAGTGCAGATGGGCGCAGCATGCTGAGGAGAGGGACGGAGAAATGACCAACAGCAGGAGCAACACAAACGAGAGACGAGAGTATGAGGGTGACGACGAGAAGAGGACTGAGTGCTTTTTAGATGCAAGCGCGCATGTATGGATGGATGGATGGAGGTGAGGATAGACGGACGTTGACCACGCACGAAAACGCAGAGATGCCAGCCGAATCAAGGCGCAAAAGACATGCTCACACACACTCACACACCACAAAGATGGAGAGAGAGAAGGGAGAGAGGAGAGGAGAGGAGAGAGAGATATATACTCGGTACATATACATACAGTAAAGCCCACCCCAAAAAAGGTTAAAGTTGTATCCCCACTCCTCTTCTGCTGGGCTCCTGTTTTCTTCTTTCAATGATATATGACATGTATACATGGGGAGGAAGTGAGCACGGTATACAAGGGGATTCGGATGTGGGATACAGGACATGCAAGCTCGACAAAGGAGATCGCTGTCTACACGAGTGCGGGTACGGGTACGAGTACGAGTAGCCCTTGGCGGTAGTGTCGCAAGTACGAGTACGAGGTACATGGCGAAGCGAGTAGGGAGACAATCAATAAACCTTGCTGAGGATCTCGATTGGATTGGTAATTGGGGAAGAAAAGGCACCTAATGATTTTTTCATACAAAGTTAAGCGTCACATCTCAATGGAGGGAGGAAAATAGGAAGTTTGTAAGCCAATTTGTTTTTTCCCCTTTTCCAGGAAGTGTATATCTGTCTCGCCTCTTCTCGTCCGTCCTCTCCTGCCCAGTGATTTTCACAGCTTCGGCTCATTGACGAGCATGACGCTGCCCTGACGGAGCTTCTCGGCCGCGCCATCGACGATCTCGTCGAGGATCTCCTTGGCGCTGCTGCGGTGGTTGACCAACCCGGCCACGACGCCCATCAGGTACGGATGGAGGTTGTCGAGGATCTCGTCGTCGTCCGGGTGTTGCTCCGAGTCGTGCAGCACGGGGAGGATGCCCTGGCCCGTCAGCGCCTTGATCTCCTCCTGTCGGTTCTCTTCCCAGTTGAGGATGTATTTGGTCTTGCGTATCCGGAGGGGTCGGCCCTAGATGGGTTTTTTTTTGTTAGGGGTTGGACACATGCCGTTAAATGGTGATCTTGAGGGAAGGAATGAGATGGGGGTGTGTAAAGAGGGTTGGACGGGAAAGGATGTGGAGATAATATAGAGATAGTCTAATGGGGTGTGTGTGGTGGAGAGGGAAAACGCACTGAGAATATAACACTTCTGACAGTGTCGTCGACACCGGCGCTCAAAACGGCTTCCTGGTGAGCTTTGGAGGCACCGGCTTCATTGGCCACGATGAACCTCGTGCCGACCCAGACGCCCGAAGCGCCCAGCATCAGCGCGGCAGCCAAGCTCTCACCACCAGAGACACCACCGGCCGCCACGAGCTGGACGTCGACACCTGTAAAAGCGGACTTTTGGCCCTTGAGCAACTTGGCCACGGCGGGGATGAGCACGGAGAAGGGGATGTCGCCCGTATGGCCACCGGCCTCGCCGCCTTGGGCGCAGAGGATGTCCACGTCCAGGTCCAGGCACTTTTGGACGTGCTTGGGGTGTCCGATCATGTTCATGTACAGGACGCCGCCGGCGTGGAGGCGCTCGACGGCCTGTCTGGGGGGAACTCCGATGGCGGAGACGAAGACGCGGGCTTTGGACTCGACGACCACGTCGATGAGTTCCATCAGTTTGCCTTTGGTGTAGTCATAACTGTTGTTTGTCAGAGAGGACTTGTTCATCAGCGTCCGACTCCCAAATCAAGGGGCGGGTCGAAGGGGATGAGGGTCTATCGATCTGCAATCTTGCTGACACCAACCAGACCAGCATTTTTCTTCTTCTTCGCGGGTCACTTACTTTGTCTTGCGTGCGTTGCCTCCCACCTGGGGGAGCAGGATGTCGACGCCAAACGGCGCGTCCTTGTCCGTCAAGTACGACTTGAGCTCCTGGATCTGCTCACGCAACCCGTCGGGACTGTACCCGTGACCGCCAATGACGCCGATGCCGCCCGCGTTGGTGACGGCGGCAGCCAACTTCGGCCCTGCGGCGACGCCCATGCCGGCGAGCATCACGGGATGCTTGACCCCAAACAGGTCTGTGAGGGTGGTGCGGATTTTCTCTGTACATATGGATTTTCTCTGGTCAGAAAAAGAGTTTGTGGAATTTTTTGCGGCACTCCCAGTCCCCGAGGGAAGAAGGGGCCATCATATGATTACATGTGAATGGGTGGATGGATGGACGGGCGGCTGGAGAAGGGGAAAAACACCTACGGCGAGAGGAACCCATCTTCTCTTCTCTTGTGCTCGGATTAGATACTTGTCAGTTTTGCGTGCTCGGAGTGGTCGTGTCTTGCCAGAAACCGCGATATAGTAGATTTGCTCAAGGGTTATTACCGAGTAACAGGTATTATTAGTAAAATGCTCGTTCTTTGAATTCTGAGCCAATCCGACCACGAGCAACTAACCAGAGAAAAAATCTATATCATCTATCATTGAAATCTAAGAATAATATGTACAGGGATACCTTCCATAAGCAGTCTCTCTCTCTCTCCTCTCTCTGGTCTCTGGGGTGACAGAGTGTCACTTTTGCCGAGGACGTCAGCCGTCAGCCAATTCTCCAGGCCCCCCCGGGCCTCGGTTACTGCAACTGTCAACACCGTCATCTTTGTGCACTGGGCACTTAGTATCCTTGGGCAATCCGGGTACCGCAAAGGGTATGCCCGGTGGAAAGAATTCAAGGCGCCCAGTTCTACGCGCTGGTGTCGAGCCGCACGGAAACAACTCCTGGTGCAAGGCAAGGCACGTACATAGATCGATAGGTACTCGATAATATACCTCTGGACAGCGCGTAAAGGAGGGAGTTGGAAGCGGGGTAGAGTGAGGCAGCTTTGCCGAGAAGAGGCTGGCGCCTTTCTATTTATGGAATGGTGCAATTCGACGGCTGGAAGATCCAATTCTCCGAACCTCCAATCGGCCATCGCTGTAAAGTCCAAGCTCCTAACGAGTCATGTACCGCAATACCTCGTACCTAGGTAGTAACTGTGACTTTACTTGTATGGGCATACTCCGCTCTCTTCAAAGAAGGGGTGCAACCTGGCCCCGGCATGAGAGTCTTTGGACGAGGGCCGTCCGGCAGGACCTGGAAAGAACCCAAAAAAAAACGCTGCAAGTCTTGGACAAGGCAGGCGTCTCCCAGTTTTGCGTCAGCTTGCCTGTCTCTCTGATGGTTGGACTTTGGGAATGGTGTTCCCTCGCCCACCCCGTCATAGTGAGGCTGGCCGCTCCCGAAACCAAGTCTAGTTAGGAAGGGGTCCCCCGTCACGAGTGGTGCCTCGAGACGGAGCCTCCCGAGGAGGTGCAATGAGGTGTTCCCCCACGGCTCTGCGTGGGTGAGACGCTGCCATGGCGAATGCAAATGCGATTTCCGTTGACAATCGAGTGCTAAAAAGCGGGCGGGCCGATGTGCTCTTGTAGAGATCGAGCCTCTCCGCGACGACTGCTTTTGGACGGAGTTTCCGTGGGGTGCAGAATAACGGCAGCTCTGCACTACTTGTCCACAGCTCGTGGTTGGCTGTCCGGTGTGGGGGTGACTTGTCTCGCCTCGCCAGACTGCCCATGTTTGATGTCCTACCTACGCTGTGATGTACCGTCTCAGCGAGGTGCATTTCTCTCACGGTCGTCGCCAACGTGTCCCCCTCAAGGCGTCCCGTGCCTTTGTTCCAATCAGAGCCGCGAAGCCTGCCTTGCTGCGAAAGATACCTTGCGTCCAAACCCCCCTTCACTAGTCACTATTATTTGCGTCGCACAAGGGTTCATGGCCTGATTGGGTGACCATCGGAAGAAGTCGGCCTGAGGAAGCGCGCCCGGCTGATATTGCGACAAGAACGGTCCGGGGTATCGTCTGGGGTGGGCAATATCCGGGGTTGGACAGTGACAGGTCACCCTGGACTCCTGAGGAAGGGCTCATTCAAACGTGCCCTGGTTCACGAGGAACAGCGCCCGGCACGTATCGCTAGAATCGGTGAAACTCGATCGTCCTTGTGAGACACATCACGAGAGCCCGATCTAACGATTTCAGTGCCCAGGAATAAAAGCAGGTTGCCTGGAGCTACGCCGTGCCGGAACACCGCTGCTACTCCAATGAGCCCGGGGTGACAGCATCCTTGACTGGAGAGTTTGCTAGGGCAGAGTCGACCACGAACGGGTTGCTTGATTGAGTCATATCGTCGACTACCCGTCAGCTCCATGGGTTCCCGTAACGAGGACTCTCTGCACGCTGACCCTGCGGCGCGATGATACCTCGTAAAACAATATGCTTGTCTCTCAAATGGACCTGCCCAGTCTCTGAAGCCCTGGCGCCTGACTTCCCAGAGGCCTTGTGTATCCTTAGATCGGGACTTTGCCTCGTGCTGACGGGCTCTGGGGGCTTGACCAAGATGATGCGGTTTGCCAGCCTTTTGAGCCTTGCTTTTTTGCCCACCTTGACGCCCACTCAATTGCCCACTGTGCGTGGGGGTACCCATGGACAAAATCACTGGCCAAGGAGGAACTCTATATTCCCTTAGCAAAGAACCGACCCTCTTCTATGCCAGACAATTGCCCTTGCGCATGATGTAAGACCCCTTGACGAGAAGCGGGCAGCTGAAAATGTCGCATGGCGGTTGAGTCGAAAACGCGCTCTCCCGAAGGCATATAAATATCGGGGAGTAGGAGGTCGTGAAGGAAACCCTGGTTTCTTAGAGAACGCAAACCATTCTACTGTGCGCCTGGAATGAACCACAGACCAGTGCAATCGAGCCTTGTTGCTTTTTCATTCCAATTTCGACAGTTTCCGCGTAAAATTGACTTACTCTTTGTGAAACCATGGCCGCGACTCAACCATTGAGGCAAGCTTCGAAACAGTGGATAAAACCTCCACCCCCGAGGGAAGACTGACATTATCACAGAATCGACCAGATCGACACCCAAGTCTCCCTGGGTGGAAAAGCTCACGAGGGCGGCGGTGCCATGGTGCACGTCTTCCTCTACGGGGCGACCAACACCGTCATGGACTTCATCGTGCTCGGCCGGCACTCTGGCGCACAGGCCGTGGCCAGGGGAATGCCACCAGCCAAGAACAAAATCGGATGTATCATCGGGCGCTTCGACAGCGCGGAAGAACCCACGGCCGCCCTGATGAGACAGATGGACGAAATCACAGACGCAAAAATCGTCCGGCAGGCGGAGGTCTACCGCATGACGCTGGTTGGTTGTGAGTGATCAGAGACTTTGACCCAGGGGAACGAAGTTGAGTGGAGGGAAGGAAAGGACAGAGCAGGAAGTAGATCACCAAAGGTCCCGGGGGAAAAGGGGGAAACAAATGGGGAAGAAGTGGTTGGATGAGGATTGACCACGCGCTTTGAGGGTCGCGTGCACTGACGTGGATAAAAGACCAAGATATGCAAGGTACCTCCATACCTTGTCGAGCAAGGCTACAAGGTTGACATGGTGGGGAGGAGCGGGTGGTGCCGGAGCTGTGTTCCAGCCACTGACGAGGCTGAGCGAGGCTGTTTCTAACAACCTGGGCAACAAAACCAGGACGAACTGTACCTCCTTCCGTTAATTTCTCCTTTGTCGACATGGGGCGGGATCAAAAACCATTGATGATTGTCTACCTCCAGACCCAAAAATATCTATCTTCTATTGTAAATCTTCTAACAGGGTCTAGATCTATCCGCTTCTGGTCTTGTCCTGCCACGCTCGCCACGACGCCTGATCTATTGGGTCCCTCCGTCCAATGTGGTGGATAAAACTGCAATGTGTTGTCATGACTCTTCCTCAGTCTGTCCTTTGCCAGAAATCCAGGATCCGGGCAACGATTTGGTCGCCTTTCGTGACGGGCACCTCGTGTCCGGCCTCGAAGATGGCAAATTCCACATTGCCCGAGAGCACTTCTGTGGCATCCTCCTGGACCTCTTTCTGGATGATGATGGGATCGTTGGTCCCCAGAACGATCAGCACTTTCTTCTGCTTACCAGTCTCTTCGTTTAGGCGGGTCAAATGTTGGCCAAATGCTCGCCATCGGTCATGCTGATGCCGGATAGGACCATAGCGGATGCTGGACATGAATGCCGCGACAAAGCCCGGGTAGTTGTCTAGCTGATAGAGGACCGTCTTCTCGACAGTGACGTGGGGACGTATCTTGGAGAGAAGGGCCTGAGAATTGGCTTCAAGGTTGACCTCGGCGGCTACCGCCTCAGTTGCATCAACCGTGGTATCCTTGTCGAGTGGTTTCTTCAGTGGCTTGGCCATGGGACTCCGAAGTCGCTTTCTGACCAAGCGCTGCAGCAAAGACTCTGGGATCAGGCCTTCCGAATAGATAATATGGCTTGTCCGGCTGATGTGATAGGGCCTCAGTATTCCGGCCGGCGCAAATAGGATCAAGCTGTCGATCAAGTTGGGAAAGTAGGATGCAAAGGTCGTAGCGATCCCGCCGCCGAGAGAGTAACCGATCAGAGTGAATTTACCAGAGTCCTTGCCGGTCCACGACAACGGCGACGACGCTAGGACGAGCAGTATCTGAGTCGTGAAAAGCCGGATGTCATGAGGCAGGTCTTCAGGGTTGTCCGAGTAGCCTCGTCCGAACAGGTCGAAGAGCATGACGCGACACCCACTGTCCACAAGGGCGTGGGCAACGGCTCCCAGCGCAATCGCAGGAGTACTGATGCCGTGGACAAGAAGGACCTTGCGCCCATCTTCCGGGCCGAACTCGTACACTCTTATCGAGCCGTGAGGTGTTTCGACGTCGCGGGCCCCCGGGAGCACATCTGGAGGGTAGGGTAAGTCGGCGATTTCCTCTGGGGACAGCTTCGGCAGCACTGTCACTCTCGGAGACCGCACGATGGTAGCTTTCTTCTTGTTCCAAAGTCCTCCGGCAATGACCCCGACAGAGAAGAGACAAGTACCAGCCAGCACCAGCCGCCACTCGAGGGCCCCGGGGAGCAAAGACGACCTGGATGCCATTTGGCAATGTGTGGCAAAACACTGCACAGATGCACAGGAACTTGACGGAGTTGTCCTCGAGACGCGGA